TTGGTACATTATGATTTATGCAAGGGCATCCCTCTGGCGCTTCCTGATATATAAGTCATTCATAGTTGTTCGTGCTTCTTTTGTCCTTGTTCTCTACCATTTATCTGACCTCGTTTATAACCTACTGTGCTTGTTTAAACCTTCCAATTTTTACCTTTCTTCTTACTACACATCAATCTATTACCTTCATATCCACGTCCTTGAAACAAATCATTATATCAACTTGTCCATTTCGCTACCGAGATAAATTTACCCAATGAACCATAACCTTGTAGAATTCTTAGCTCAATATCAGGTTGGAGCTGCTATACGGTCTCAAGTGGTTTCTTTGCTCTCGACTGTCAACCTGGATCTGCTTCCAATCCTTCTGACGTTGGAGGAACCTCAATCCAGGGGTTGTTCCCACCCTGGTTGCTCACCTAACCTTCACCGCGATGCCCCTGCTGGTCACGCTAGACTCATGAATGACTACTTTGCAGTAGAACCTGTGTACGGCGAAGCTCTATTTCGACGTCGTTTCCGCATGCCGCGCGACATGTTCCTACGTATCATGACGGCGCTTGGCGGTGATGATGTTTACTTCACCCAAAGTAGTGATGCTTTGAGTAAGCGTTTTATATTACCTTCTCTTTGATTCTTATTCGATGTTGAACATATTATATTAACTCGTTTTTTTTGATCGAAACTAAAGGTCATCCAGGCCTATCACCTCATCAGAAGTGCACCGCTGCAATCCGACAACTCACTTATGGAACTACAGCTGACCAAAACAACGAGTATTTGCAAATTGGTGAATCCACAGCCATCAAATGCCTCCTCCGTTTTTGCAGCGGAGTAATCCAACACTTCGGACCTCAGTATCAACGCCGACCTAACGCCCAAGATGTTCAGCGTATTATAGCCGAAAACGCCGAACGTGGCTTCCCAGGGATGCTAGGTTCCCTTGACTGCATGCACTGGCAGTGGAAGAATTGCCCTAAAGCACTTCAAGGTCACTTCTCCGGTCGAAAAGGAAAGCCAACACTTGTTCTAGAAGCAGTGGCCACTCGTGATCTGTGGATATGGCATTCTTTTTTCGGTATGCCTGGAGCAATCTACTCTTTTCAATGAAATGTCTTGAGGCAAAGCTCCTCCTTGTGACTTCGTCGTCAACGCTCATAACTATCATGCTGGTTATTACCTCGCAGACGGCATCTACCCGAACTGGTCAACTTTGGTTAAGACGTATAGTGCTCCTTCAACACCCAAACTTCGGGTATGTTTTTTATGTTAATAATCTACTTGTTTTACATACCCTTTTCACCTAACGTATGCATTTGATTGTTATTATTTGTAGTTATTTGCTCAATACCAAGAGTCTATTCGGAAAGATGTCGAACGAGCGTTCGGAGTTCTACAAGCTCGATTTCATGTGATCAAGGGAGCTGCCAGGATGTGGCAACCTTCATCTCTTGCTTTGATCATGAACACATGTATTATATTGCATAACATGGTAATCGAGGCGCAGGGAGGTGCAGGATTCGAGTTTCTCGAAGCTGAAGAGCTGGTTCCCCCTCCACGCTTGGCAAGGCCACCTGGTTTAACTGCACGCTTCTTGCAGGGAAGAAGTGCATATCGTGAGGCTGATGCACATCTTGCACTTTGTGAAGATTTGATTGACCATATATGGAATAAGAATGGGGGTGATGATGTTTAGATTCACTTATGTATCTTGTGTTTTCACTTTTGCTTATAGTTTATTTTCATCTACTCTTGTTCACTTATTCAGTTTTAGGTCAAGTATAATTTTTGATAGTTCCACCTTTCTTGTTTTTGTGTTTATCCAAGTCGCTTTTGTTCATATTCACTAAGTTCTTTCATATTTCCTCATTCACTCATTACAATGTAAGATAACAAAATGGCCATTATGATTTGTACATGTTGATCAATCAATATGACTGAAATGAGGAAAAAAGAGAGAGAGAAAAAAGATTCAAAGTAGAGGAAGGAAACAGTCTCTTTACAGTCGTAAGTGCGTGAAAAAAGATTCATCGTAGAGGAACAAAACAGTCTCATTAGAGTCGTGAGGTCGTGAAAAGCGTGGCTTATACAAGGTGAATCTCATCTTCACCATCATTCACTCGATTCTGAAGCCACTCCCACTTGACTTCTTGATCTTCCATCTTCACAAACATCGCACCCAAACCCTCTCGACGCAAAAAAGCGCCGGCTTTACCTTTGTCACCAACCTTTTGGAGGAAAGGTCCGTTGTAAGTATAAACAAGGTAAAGGGCTTCACGGATGGAAGCTCTGTCATCGCGGAGCTTATTCTCTATAAGCACTTTAATGTTACGCTGAGCTTTCACCCGTTTGTATTTAAGCTGGTAAACTGTAAGTTGTCGATGACGGTGTCTGATGTTTCCATGGTTTGTGGACTTGGCTTTTGGTGCAACCTTGATGTGGTTCACTTCATAAGGGCAGATAATCAATGATTAACAAGTGCTAAACCGCACAATGAAATGAAGACTTACCAGATCCATTAGATACACTGGAACGGCTTCCATTGGAAGCGTTGTACAGACGATCTTGACGAAGCGAGTATTGAATTTGCCTTGGGCTAAGGAGAGGCACGTAGTCCTTGCAGATCCAACACTCTGCAAGGAAAAAAGGTGTTGAATATGATCAATATTCCAGGAACAGAGTTCAGGTAAGAAACTAACCTCCTTTCACCTCCAAAGCGGTTCTAACTCCCCACAGACGGACATCATCACAAGCGCAAGCAGACATTGTAGTTTGATATAGTTAAAATTAATAAACCAGATGTTTGAAGATATAGGACACTGAAAAATTTAATAGAAGAATGAATATTGCTGCGATAGAGAGGTGACTTTATTTACAGCTATGAACAGTTAGCAGTTGATGATCTTGGGGTGGAGACGTTCAGCGCAAACCTTTTATATCTCTGAAAAGGCCACATTCGATCTGGTAGCAACTGTAACAATGGCAGATCAGTGTGTGGCGACGTGTTCGGCAATTCCGCAGACCTCACTGGATATGTTAAATTCCACGAAATATATGAACCAAAAGAGTGTAGTAGAATGAAATTCCAAGGAAGCCGGACAAATGGGTTAATGAAAGTGCTGAAGTAATACAAATAAGTTCCAATTGGGTTTCATAGAGTCATGTAAGGTAAGGGAAAACGTAGAGCAAACATGTGATATACACAAGAGAAAGGAGATGACATTTAGGTTGTTGCTAAATAAACACACAAAATATAAAGATTGATCTCAAAGGTAGAAGATACTTATAATGAACAAGAAATGTTATAAGAACGAGTTGAAAGGTGGAAGAAAAATATAATAAACAAATGAAATAGAATAAATCACTATTCAGCTTCCCTTCGAGCGCGCGAGCGGCGAATAACTTCGCTTCTGCGTGCTTCAATCTCAGCACGAGCAACATCATCAAGTGTAGACATATTGGTAGTCAGGATGGTCCAGTCTACCATACTTTGGAGTGACTCCTGAGCAGCTTTACCTTGCTTTGCTAACTCGCGGTTAGACTCCGCAACTGAGTTCTGGGTCTGTAACGTTTGAGATTGATTCTCTAGTATTTGCGGAATTAGCTCCTCAGTCAGATTCGATTGACCTCGCTTAGCCTGCTTTGAACCCATAGGTCTGTCCATTTTAGGCAAGGATTCGAGGTCACTACCCAGGTTGACACTGCTTGAATCATGAGAACCATTCCATTTTCCGCAATGTTCAACATATGCTGGGTTCTGCTGCCATTTGGGAGTATCTTTAACAATGTTGTAGCTTGAAATATCCTTGAAAGCGGATTTAGTGTCGGCTTGATACATAGTAAGCGCATCCATGATCTGATCAGCTTGCGACTTTCCACTTTCATTCAACATAACAATTTGAGAAAAACAAGCGGCGAATTTAGACATTGAAGTGTTAAGAGATGACCATCGGGCACTGAGTGATTTCCAAGTTTGTTGGGATTTTTGGTCCATACGGAGATTGAAGTCATCTGCTATTTTACCCCAAAATACAGCGGACTTTTGATTGTTCCCGGTCACCAAATCTTGAGATACATGAAGCCAAGAGGTACAGAGCTGGTTGAGAGATTGCTCATCAAAATTACACCCACGGCCAGTGGGTCGCGGATTGACAGATGACTGAGTGTTTGGATGGTTTTCCGATTGAGTCATTGTCGTTTGAGTTGAACTAGACAACGCGGGAGAAGGCGGTACCTGAGAGCTAGGTGGCCAATCTTCGTCTGGAGAATGATCTCGAAATTGATCATGATTGTTTCGAGGTGGAATGAAATTGTAATTGTAACGGAACTGTGGTCCAGTTTCAACAGAATCTCAGCGGGAACGGTATTGATTGTTGCTGTACTGGGAATGGGCGTCAAGGGAGCCCTCGCGGCCGTTGTTATACATAGGAGGTTGTGTGCCGGAGGTGAAACTTTGTAACGGAGGACCGATGCTGGAAGGAACTCGGCTTCCTTTAAAACAAAGTATAAAACAAAGTATTAGCAATCAGATTTTATGTACCAAAGTTGAATCGTCCGTTGCCACACTCACGATGTCTGGTAACACCCTCAATAGACAAGTTGCTCATACCGGTACTAGCACGTGAGAATGAAGAATTCATGATGACTATGGAGTTGAAACTAAATAATATTGGCACAAACAGATATTTGCACGATGAAGATATAGGACTTGAAATAGATAGATACAAACAGTGATAAATGGATATCAGATGGAGGGTAATATTGAGTTAGGCTTTGTCAAAGTTGCTCTTTTATTATGTTACTGCACGGACATATACATATTACTGATATCTACCTAGTACTTCATTGTTTCGCTGCACAGACATGGCTATCTACACATACTGCCTTCAAAAGAGGAGGGATTTGATGAAACATCAATGGTGATAGGACATGATCAGATCAATCGCATGGATTGGCCGCTTGATCTGATCAAGGATGTGGTAATACGAGCTTCAAGCTATCAAGATATGACACAATGAGACCAAATAGGCAAGTTTGGTTGTCTCAAGGTGTCCAAAGTGTGAGAAAACACGTTTTCCGAGGTTCCGGCTCGCCAACTGTGCGACTTTTTAGTCGCGCTGGAGGCTGATTTTCGGAAAATCCTTGCAAACGTAAATTGGACATTACGTTTCTGTCAGAAACGTTAGGTAAACCCTATGTAAAGGTTACGTTTCCGGCGGCGCGTTGGGGATGCTCTTAGGGTTTGAACGAGTGTAAAGAAAGCATAAAGTAATGTTGTAGACAGATTTACTGAAAAGGTTATAAGAATTTTTGTGCGCCTACATATGTTAATACCAACACCCTTATAATTTAATACCAAAACCCTTATAATTAATCATAAGACCCTTATATGTTTATAATCAAATGCACACCCTTACATTTAATACCCTTATCATTTAATACCAACACCCTTATAATTAATCTCACCACCCTTATAATGAATCTCACACTGCGAACATAATGTATTTTTCCAAGGTGAAAAATGGTTACATTTATTCCACAAAATGATTAAAAATGCATTAATTCTGGATTAGTTCTGCATTTTTCTGCATTAATTCTGCATTATTAATATTTTGTGCATTAATGTCAATTGTTTTTCACCTTGGAAAAATACATTATTTTCGCAGTGTCACCACCCTTATAATTTGATACCAACACCCTTATAGATTTGTATTAGAATGTAGGCACTTGAAAATAGCGCCTACATTTTATTTTGAGAATGTAGGCGTACACAAATGACGCCTACATTGGTTTTTCAGCCTGTAGGCGTCATTTGAAAAAGGAAAAAGGGCCTACATCATAAATGTATGCGCTTTTTGGCAGAAAACAACCGTGTAGGCGTAATTTGGACAGCGCCTACATGGATTCCATGTGGGCTGCAAATAGCAACAGCTGTAAAATATAAGAAAAGAAAATGACTTAAACATAAGTCCTTCTTGGTTTCTTCATTATTGCCTTCTTGGCAAACTCAATCACCCTGCCAACCTCCGCAAAATCCCCAGTAAGTGGTACCCCTTCTCCCATCCATAAAGTACTACATACCAACATCTCAGTCATTTGAGGCTTTAATCCACCTTGCTAATCAGTGCAAATCAGGCCGGCAATTGAGAAAGACCTCTCTGGAGGTGATGACGCCGCGGGAGTGGCGAGGTAGTCACGCCTAGTCACGCGCTAAGACGGATAGTACCGGATATCTGCCTTGATGACGCTGTGAGGCAATAATGATCAGTAAGGTGATGATCGTAAAAGACAAGAAAAAGGAGTTTAGTGGGACTTACCCTCCACCAATCAAGAGCAAGTTGAGGATTGTTGACGTTAGGTGATTTCATTGGATTGATTCCTTGAATGTATTGATCCAACTCATTGAGATTATTTTGGGTTGAAACTTCATTATAGAAATCAAGGTAAGTAGGATCAAACATTTTGGGAGGCGAATTGCCGTGAACTGAAGATGTGGTGACTGGTTCGGATTCATTCGAGTCTCAAGCTTCAGGTGCTTGACGGTCCCACTTGGTTTTAAAAGCTACTTCCAGTAAGGCTTTGGCTCGGTCGGGTTTGGGAAAGCCTTCTCCAAACGCATGAGAAAAAAATTGTAGACGTAACCCCGGGTGAAAAACAGAGGCAAGAACTAAGGTATCACACTCAAGTGCCTCATCAAGATAGAGCTTGATCCTCTCTAACATGATGTCGACCATTGGGTAAAGAGGATCATTCAAGTGCATAGTCTTCAATCAATCCTCCATGGACTCCTTAAGCTGTACGTAATTTACCAGTACCATGCAACCTGTAGGAATGTTACCTTCCATCTCACAAGTTAAGATCTTGAAAGGCTGTGAGGTAGATGTCAAGGAGTCAGTATAGAGCTTATGAAAATTGAATATTACATTTCAAAACACTTACAATGAGGATATCTAACATATCCCTCAATGCTTGCCAATCTGCAACTGAAAACACCACTTCTTCAAAGTATCCATGCTTCTTCCCATCCTTTCTTGGACGGCGCCACTTGGAATGGACCTCTCTCAAGTCTTCCCTCATCACTCCATCAATCAACTGTAAAATTGCCTTAATTAGTTATCACATCGACTCACAAGAGGGGAGTTTGGAAGCTTGGGTGACTTACATCCTTAGCTTCCCACATACGCTTCCATCGCTCAGCACAAATACCCCAACGTACCCCGTGGCCAGATAGAAGGGCCTTCAAGGGACGTAACTTATCTTTTTTGTGTTGAAGTTTTTCTCAACTGCGTTGTCTATTAAAATCGGCACGGTGGCCGCTAGATCGAGTGAGTTTTTTATTCACTGTGTCCATCTAGTAATGGAACAACAAATACAAACAAATCTAATCAGTGAGATAGAAAGCAAGAGAGGACTCAATCAGGTAGGAAGAAAGTTGGAAGACAACTTACATCTTTACTTAACTGTTTCATATACGTGTCACCCAACAAGTAAGCACTCTTGCCGTTTTGATAGAAGGTAGGTTTGTTTTCTTCTTCCTTATCTTCTTCCTCATCAATGGAATTGGAATCAGATTGAACACTTGAGTTATTGCTAACAACATCTTCATCAGTTTGACTATCAACTTCATTGTTGTCTGATTCAAGATCTTCAGATTCTGTGGTGCCTTGTTCCAACTCGTTGTCTTCATCAATCACTGCTAAAACTTTGACTGGAGGAAATCAACCCAAAGCAGCATGTCTAATGGGCAAGGGCTTCATGCCCAGCGC